TGCAAATCCAAAAAAATAAAAAATATCAACCCCTCTAGAAAGAGCTTCGTCCGGAAAGCTAGTAACCGCCACAAAAGTGGTCACGTTATTTATACGCCGGGTGGCGAATGAATATTCATGCTATATATACTATTCAACCGACTAACGCTCGTGAATACCATCATCATCATAATATTTTTTAATGTACATAAATATTTTTATTCGTAAAATAAAACCATACACAAACTCGACCAGAAGAGGTAAAACAATGTTTAACATGTGTTGCTTATCGTTAATCCTTAAAGGGATGTTTCGACATACCTAATCAGACTTAATTCCTTTTTTAAAATCCTGCCCGTTTCCTTGCAGAGGGTGTAGTTCCCCGACTAGGAATTATATAGATTTCATATAGGTATTACATTACGCTCGTGTTATAGTAATACTGAGACTGATTTATGTCACACGTAACATCGTATCGTTCACTTTTGGTATATATTTTACAATAGTGAAATTATGTTGAAAAAGATAAAATATTGTACTATTATGGGAAAATATTGATAGTTTTCTAACTTCGGAAATAATTAAGAATTTAACATTACATTTTTTCATTATGAAAACTCTGTTTAACAATGAATAGTTCAAAATATGCATTAATATATATTTTAAACAAGTTTCGTTCAAAGTATTTTACAAGTGAATCTAACTATTACGCTTTTACGCTTATTTTCCGCTACTACATTGATTTGTACGATTATGTTAGAAACATAATTTCTATAGTCTAGAGAATTTAGTTAATTTTATGAGATTTATACTCACAAATTACATTTATTTAAAACAAATAATAAAAATTTAAAACATTTTTCATTTATTAATTGTTTGTCAATAACAGTTAAATACAATTTACCAACAATATATTGTATATATACTTAACATACGGATTAAATCTTAAGATAAAGTTAGGCATAGTTGTTTTTTTAAACTTGTGTGTTGTTAATCCTACTAATCTTCTATTTCCTTAACTATAAGTAAAAATTGTTCTAAAAAAAAAACTTTTAACAGTGTGTTAATGGTTTTGCTAAAGAAAAAAAACTATCCTTAGTTCCTTCTCCAGAAATCTACCAGATATAGGTTATCTATCAAATGAATATGTTAAAAATTAAATAAATATATTAACCTGTATTTTGAATGCTTATCCCATTAACAATAAGAAATAGAATCAACTTAAACTAATTTAAAAGATATTAGATACCTACCCATAAGAGTCTACGAAACAATTTACCTTCAATTGGTATTTCATTTCGAAAAATTTAATTGAAGGTTATATTGAAGATGGTAAGTATTTTGTATTACGACTAAGTTCTAAAGAATGTTTTAATTATTTTAATTGGCATCAAGAACATCACTTAGGTACTTCCTATGAATTAACTATTTTGAAATTTTAATGTAATTTGTTTAGAAAAATAATCCATAAAATTTTATTTTTGAATCCTTAGAGAGAGTGGTTAAATAATGTATTGTCTGAAAAGCTACACGGATTTTAAATATAATTCGACCATAAAAATTGATAGTCGAGATAATAATATCAATAAACCTAATTTTAAATTTAAAAAGAAAATATCATAGAAAATATTAAATTGAATAAAACGTTATGTACAAAAAAAAAATACAAACGAACATTTTAGAACTCAGGAAATCTAACAAAACAACTTTTAAAAACATGAAAATAAATTCAACATGATATAATATAATATAATATAATATATTATGTTGGAATACACAAGAATATTTTAAAACTTTTGCCAAGTTTTTATCTTTTAGGTTTACCTTTTACCAATATGCCTCTGGATTAACATAATTCAAGTCTTGCCTATAAGGATTTAAATCGTATTACTGCCGGATTAAACTTAGTATTTGTGACTTAATTATCTATTATTAGGTATATACAAGCATATAAGCAAACACTAATACAAAATTGAAAATAAAATATAAAATTGTACCTTAAGTAACATTAAACAAAAGTAACAAAATAGATTTGAATGTATAAAATAAATATATATACATAATAACAATAAATGTAAATAATATTGTCCGTTTAAATCATAATAAAATAATAAAGTGTAGGTATTTTTTAGTCATATTGAGGTAAACTTAGAGCTACATCAAAACTTTCAAAAATATATATTGTTTAATTTTAAAAGATACCCATAACAAAATAATCGCAACCCTTTTTAGTATGTAGATTTTAGAAAGAAAAATGCGTAAATGGAAATTACTTAATGAATAAATGAATATACCCTGAATATTTAATAAATATGAATAATAAATGAGAAAATAATGAATAGAACACTTGTTTTTAATTAGTTAAATTAGCTTCAAAAATATGAATGCATTTTAGACATCGCACACTAGTTTCATCATATACCTAGATAATATTATACTCTTTAGTTAGTTATTGTACACAATATATTATAATTGATTGATTAATTAAATTTATACTATACAGTAATATTTATAAACAGTGCCCGAAGTGGTGGGAGGATTCCGCTTTCATTTTTTCATAGATTTCAGCGTTCCCCTTTATTAAATTAAGCGAGGAACGCAAGAAACGTGCTCTCTTCTGGGATTTTTACTTTGAAATGGTGTACGGTGTACTTGTTTGGATTTTGTTTTTATTTATTTCTAGCAAAATAACGATCATTTTTTTCCAGAAAACTATTATAGTCGACGACAGCCGATACGGTACCAATAATACATTATAGCTATACTACATACGTCATAATTATTGACTAGTCCAACAAATTCTATTTTCATAATTTTATTATAAGACAAATTAATTGATACTGTTTTCTTGGAAAATGGGTTATTGAAGATAACAATCAATGACGGTACAAAATATACCTATAACTCAGGTGTACCAACAATGGTAATTTTGTTTTCATAATTTTATTATTCGACGTTATTGCGGAGCCAATTTCGTGTGGATTAACGGGCAACGCACGTCACAATGTCACATATACGAGGCACTAAACAACAAAATAAAGGTCTAAATTGTATAATGCTGTAATGTTCATGTTTTGATTTACAATGTGTAAGGGTTGAGGAGGACAAAACTGGTTAGTTTAAAATTTACCCGCTGTAACGCGGAATATATCCGCGAAACGGTGTTTCCTGAACTAAAATCATCTTCAATTTGTGTTCCAATTCAAGCACTGTTATTTATAAATATATATACATAATATATATTAAAGAACTTATATGTACCTATAATAATAAAATCCTATATATTTAAACAGTTGCAGATCCTTAAAACTTGTATTGTTTTCCAAGGATTAAATCATACTTTCAGCTCAATAATTATTTATATTTTAATAAAACATAATATTAATTTATTTTATGATTTAACTAGCATTTTCTTAACAAGATAATAATAATTTTTTTTAATATTTCACAGTAGCAAAATGCTGAAATGGTTTTCTTAATGAAACATTGAAAACAAAAAGGAATTGTACTTATAAATTCCAAATAAGTAGGTATGTACGTTTTTTTAAAACTTCATACTCATATAATTGTAAAATTAATAAATTATTTATTTCACATTCGATATTAAACATAATTTAATAGTGTAACATAAATATTGATCACTGCTATATTATAATTTGATACAATACGTCTTTTAACCCATAATATTATCATAAGCATAACCAAAATTATGATTTTAGTCAATTTAAGTTACAGCGTTTATCATATGACTTCATATTGTAGCAAATTATGTAACATTACAATCTAAACATTGTTAGATAAGTACTACCTTTAAAGTTTAAAATTTCCGTATTTGGATTTTTATTAATATTTTTTTTTGTGTAGGTACCTATATTCTAGTTTAGAACTGAAAATTCAATTTAATATACAATAGGAAATTGAGAATAATTTTTTGGTTCAAACCTTCAAATGAGTATATTTTGTATTAACATTATTAATAATGTTAATTAGGTAATTGATTATATTTTGTATTAACTTTATTAATAATGTTAATTAATTGATTATATTTTGTATTAACTTTATTAATAATGTTAATTAATTGATTATATTTTGATTGTTATCATAATGGTATATTGTGACATACCTAGCATACCCTGAAAAATGATAATTATCGTCAATTAAAATACAATATGTTGTATGTCATATAAATTAGCTTTACTCCTGATAGACTGAAGGGAAAAATTACCGGTGCCTAATCCTAAAAGGTAGAATAGAATTGTTTTTAAAATAGATATGTATAGAATTTGTTGAACAACACAGCATTATTACTATGAGAAAATAAAGTTAAAAATTATATTAAAATATTAGTTTAAAGGTAGGTATTTAGTATTTTATTATTGTAATAGGTATACAATGTATAGGTTGTATGTCAAAAAATATTAAGTTTGTCCAATGATACACCATAATAATATAATAGGTACATTGTATTTATCTATAATAGGTATAGATACCTAAATGTCGGTACTTATTTTTATATTTTTTACCTTGAAATAGTAAGTATTAAATGGGTGTGATCATTTTATTCCAGCAGTCTTACTATGTTCTTATTTATTAATATTTAACCATGATAAATACTGTTTTTTCATTCTTTGCAATTTGATTTTTCGATATTCCCGTGACTGTGCTAACAATAATAATGCATAGTTTGTATGTTTACTACTAGTAAAATATGAGCGATATCGTTTGATGCACCAAACTGGTGTACTGCATAGGTACTGTACGGAATAAAAAGATACAATTCGCATGTGCTGATTGCTGGCACCGGGTGGGAAATGAATAGACACCTACATAATAATAATAAAGTTCAAAAGTTGTTTTTTATCATATTAAGGTAAAAACGGTATTAAATAGGTAGGACAGGCATAGATTTTGTAATTATAGCATACACTTGTGGTGGGGAGTTAGGGGTTACGGGGGGTGTAAATATAAAAAATAGGTATATTATTGTCATGAAATCTGACGAGAACATCGCGGTTACTGACCTGGTGGCGAGGCCGACAGTGCCAACTCGCAGAGCAATCCGACCGTGACGAACGCTTTGCACCACATCGGCGGAGCGCGGCGTCCACGTGGCTTGCTACCATTCATCGTCTCATCACGTCTGTCCACGGGCCAAAAAAAAAATTTTCGATTTTTGATAACCGTTACGTTTGCTGCGGGTGGCAACGTGCGCGCGGCGTAAACTCGCGCGATTAAGTGACGATCGTCGTCGGCGGCGTCGGGCGGTCGGCCACGGGACGGCGTCTGCTATCGTCTGCAGTGTCCCCCCGGCGGCACGCGACTAAAGGGCCCGCCGCGCGACCGTGGCGGTCCGGAGGCGATGTCCCTTCCACCCCCCGCACTGCCGCGGTTGAAACCGCCGCGGGCCGTGCGTGTCGCCCCACCGGCGGCTAAACCAATTACAGGCGACAAACGCGGTGCGCAAACGTCGCGTGGGCGTGGCTTACGTCTTGCGGCCGCGACGGATACCGGTGGACGACGAGCCGCGTGTGTGTGCGCGTGTGGCGAGTGTGTGTGCGTGTGTGACAAGTGTGGTGTGGTGTGGTGTGGTGTGTGTGTGTGTGTGTACGATTTCGTGGACTCTCGGCGAAGAGACAAATTGACACTGTGCACGGTGGTCGGCGGCGGGTGAAAAAAAATATGCAAAAATCGAGATAAACAAACATAAAAAAAAAAATAATTTAAACGCTACTGGTTTCAAGCCCCCGTGCAGCCCCATATAGTCTTCGCCGACATTTCGTAACCGGATCTCGTTTTTTGAACGCTTATTAATGTGTTTATTTATTATTATTATAAATTATAATAATAACAGCATAATTTTTTTCATTCTTCACCACAACACTAAGTCTGACGAAAAAAAATATGCTGTCAACCTCCGTGAGCTTGTTCGGTGTAAAAAAAAAAGGAGAAAGAAAGACAACTTAATCAGAGTATAATCAAGATGCATTCATTTTAGATGACGTTAAAATAAAAATCACGTAACAAATATTTATTATATACGTGTATTAATTATTGTGTATGGTAGGTACCTCCTGTATTTGTGTGGCTATTTAATATTGTATACCTAACCTAATAATATGTTTTCCTATCGACATATATTGTCAATGAGTACATCAGGGAAAATTAACAAATTAAACTATAATTATTTTTACACGGGTAGGTAGGAGGTACCTATATACAATTAAAAATGTATATGTACAATATACACATTTTTTAATCATTTAAATGTATACCTTTTTTATAATATGATAATCATATAGGTTGGTGCAGTATACCATGATTCAAAATTAAAAATTTTACATATTACCTAATTATACATATTATATAATGTTATATCGTAAGAATAGACTATGAATAAATCTATAATATTATGTAAAGCAGACCTATATTGTATCAGAATTCAGGAAATAAATAATAATATTAACTAATGTAATCCTGTAGTTTGAAACTTTTATTCAAAATAAATATAGAATCAACAACAATATTAATAGGTATTGTTATAGGTAGGTAACTATAATAAGTACTCGGTACATATTATAATATTTTATAGTTTATGGTTATCTAGACTTTCTAGAGACTACATTATAAATGTTATGTTAAGTCTTAACGTAATATTTTATCTAAACAAAAACAAAATGACAATAATAAGCTGATTTCTCATAAATGATTTGATATATGACCTACTATTATGACTTAATGAGCTATGCCATGTACCAATTCGCTGTTTGTATTTTAATAGGTAATAACCTAAAAGTAAACTTATCTAATTTTTATTTCAACAATTTTTAAAATAGTTGAATTATATTGAACCTACTGCGAGGTAGGTATACCTATAGTCAATCTTTCTATACCAGTATAATAATATGTTGAATAATGAATGGTGATGCTTCGTAGGTATATATACAGCATAATATATACCTACCTATAACATAAACCATTATATGTATAGGTACGCATAAATCTAAGTAATATCTAGTTATTATGTTACAAGCTTTTCATTTCCAATAACTTTTTAATTAAATATACTAGGTACACTGCCTGTAAGTAAATTTGATATTACTTTCAAACTATATTTATTGAATTCTCTAATTAATAATTATTAGCAAAAATTATTAATTAATTACTTAATTTTATAGTTTGTTTTAATCATTTTTTAATTGTACGGCAAGGGTTTCTAAACATTTATCGACACCCGTGTAATAAGTTCAGTATAAAATAGAAAATTATATGTGGTATTAAGCAGTGTTTAGCCTCAGTTACTAAAGTGTTCTAAGATCGAGCATCAGACGGTGTCACTAGTTTCCGGAGGGGTGACCACCCAGGTTTTTTGAGTCAAATCCTCGTCACATATACACGTGTTCTAACAATCTAACCAACCATATCCTCCCTCATTAGTAATAATCCTACAAAATAACCCAGGCTAGTTACCTCAGATGTTAAAGCCTTAAATCAAAAAATATATATATTATATATAAATAATACGAGTGGTAAAAATGGAAAATTTAAAAATGTATCATTTATTTTTACATACAAATCTAAAAATTTAAACTATTAAAAACACGCATATTTTTAAGATATAAAAACAAATTAAGTAGATTTCAAACAAAAAATTTCCAAAAATGTATTTCATTTAATTTATAATGGGTTCAACATAAAACTACTAGACAGTTGACAATCGTAAAAATGTTATTCAAGAGGCAAACAAGGAAAATAAATCTACTACCCCGCGGCCCATTTAACCATTTGACATTAAATGCAGATAATGTAAAGTTAAGGTTATAAGTTACAACATAAAATATAAAATATAAAAAAATTTTAATTTAAATTAACAACTTATTTTACAGAAACAAGTACGTATTCGTATATTCATGAAATATCTAGTGCCATAATTAATCCAATATTCTTATTTAAAAAAAAAAATGATTTCAGAAATTTAGATGAACAAACATTTTACATAAATTCAGTTTTTAAAGCTCTCTTCAACCTCTCATATTATAATCAATAATTTAACTAATAAAATTACAAATACTCTTAGGTAGGTATATATAAGTTGTTACTCGAATAACTATGTTGTACAAAATTAGTAAATTATTCAAATTATTATAAGACGTTAAATTGAAACTGCATAATTTATAACGAGAAACGTACAAAACATTTATTTTAAACTTCCATAAAAGAGTTAATAAACATAATTCTAAATATAGTAAATTACAGTTTAAGACTAACATTTGAATGCATTTATTTGAATTGTCTTTCTGTAGATCAACCATACAGTTATTATACCGATATAGGTACCAATTATTAATATATTTAAAATAATAAATTAGGGTTAACATTTATGAAACCTATCTGATCAAAATAATCACCAATACACCGATTGCAGTTATTAAAATAAACTATTATTCAAGTTAAAAATAATAATATTGTAATTATTGTGGTGTTAAATAAAAGCAAAAGGTCTTGTTTATAGAATTAAAGTTGATTAGATCTTTTTATTGCGACTTCATTGTAAAAGTTTCATTAAAATATTTTCACTCTTTTGTTACCTTACAATAAATAATTATACTTCACTTTTGAAAGTTTTGGTTATATATACATATACTATACACAGGTATTAACTTCAGAAGTACATTTTTCGAGAGGGGAGACTTAAATACCCAAACGCTGTATTGGTAATTTATTTAATTATTACACATCTTCACTTAACTTTAGTAAGTGTAGGTACTTGCATACATTGTATACATTTTTTTTTTTGTTTTTTTTTTTTGTATGTAGGTATTCATAATTGTATTATAAACTATAGCTGTTCAGCGAGGTGTTGCTCGTGTTCCGTGCAGAAGTTCTTTTTCACTAAAAATATATCTGTAAAAAATGTTTATGCCATATTTCTACCAATTATAATAGTAATATAATATTATATGTATAACTAATTCACCCCATAAATATTCATAAAATTACAGGATACCAATTATACAGATTATAAATAATTGATTATTACGCTTGACAGTTAAAAATCATATACAATATTCCACACTATACCTCCTCTAAATTAGTTATACTATACACATATTATTATACCAAATGCACACTATGATGACCATCACAGCCGATTTCAGTAACTATGATAAAAACTATTAAGATATTATTTTCAGATAAAAGTTATATGTATGTACCTATAGTTAGTATTTTAATAAAATAATCATTAATATTTAACTATAATTACATCATCTACTTGCAAATATTAAAATATGATTACATTTCATTGAAAAGCTATGTTAACTTAGTTCAAATCTTTTTATTAATAAAAACATACATTATTTACTATACCTAGTTAATTTATTTAAAAGAATATAATATCCGTGAATATTGGAATTTATTTTGTGACAATTGAGAATAATCGAAGAATTCGGTGATGAAAAGAAATTGTTCGCTCTCAGAATAGATTAAGATAAATCGGGTGTTGAATTATTGCGAATGATCCAGCAGCAATCATTGATCCCAGACGACCAGACATGCAAAAGTTGATCCGACACAACGACGTAAGCGTGACATCATTAGGAAGAAACGCCACCGGAATGGAACAGCGTACCGATTTGTCCTTATTCGTGTCTTATGGCGAAAAAGGAATAATAAAGTGCACGTTTACATTCATCAAACATTGAATGAAATATTGTAAAAACTTTATTAAATGTTATACTAGTAATATTCGTTTACAAACATATGGAAAAATATTATGTGAACACAAATCAATTATTCGAGCAATTATAATTGAAAAATGTTTATCTTCGTAAATCAGTTTTGAACATAATAATTAATAAATATTGAATATGATAAACATTATATTACTATATCGTAGGTAGCGCTATGAAATCGTTTTAAATTAGCATAATAAACATAAGTTGAAATAAACTATTCAGTTTTTTATGTTGTAGTTTTCAATACCTACATTAAAATTTACCCTTAATATTCACATCATACTATTATACTATTAAAATTATCTTTTAAAAGTTTTAAATTATTTATTTATGGTTAAATGAATACATACACAATTAATATTAAAAGTTATGTTTAATGCAAAATAATACGATAAATAAAAACCACATAGAATATAATAACATTAATACTATTCATAAATTAATTCAAAAGGAATAATTTAAAATGTTTTTTATTTATTTTCATCTTATATTATATTATTACCCTTATTTCATAATATTCAAAAACCATAAACACATAAATCAAATAACACGGGATAAATTTGCCATGTTACGCAGGTATATTAAATGTAAA